TCTCCGAAGTTACAACAGTCAAGTAACGTTCCTTATATTACGCTACCAATTTCTAATGGGATACCTTTACCCTCTGTTTTGCAGGCCCCTATTCCAGATTTGAACCCACCCATGATGGATGAAAGGAGAGAATACAGGAAGTTGCAACTACAAGAGTTAGAGGAAATTCGCAATGATGCCTATGAAAGTGCAAGGATTTACAAGGAAAAGACGAAGGCTTTTCATGACAAGATGATCTCTAGGAAGGAGTTTAAAGTTGGTCAAAAAATCCTTTACCATTCACGACTTCGTTTGTTTCCGGGTAAGTTGCATTCTCGTTGGATTGGACATTTTGTTGTTACTAATGTTTGTCCTCATGGTGCAGTTAAGGTTCAAAATTTAGCAACTTCCAAAACATTCAAGGTGAATGGCCATAGACTCAAGCATTTCTATGAAGGCTTTCAAGAAGAGAATGTGGAACAATTGGGCCTTGAAGATCCGATTTATGCTGATTAAAAAAGGGAAGTTCGTTTTTCTCTTTCTTCTTATTTTCGCATTTATATTTTGGTTGTTTTTGCCTTTTCTTTGCATTTCACCTTACATTGAGGACAATGTAAGTTTTAAGTGTGGGGGAGGGGATTTAGGTTGTGTTTTAAATTTGATTTAGGTTGTGTTTTAATTCTGCATTTTTTTTGTTTTAGTTCTGCATTTTTTTTGGAAAAAAAAAAGTTTTGCTCTTTGCTTTTGTGGTTTTCAACGATTTCTTTTTTAGGTTGTATATGCCATGAGCAAGATTCAATTAAGCTTAAAAAGCTCATAACATGATTGGATAAGCGATCTTCCAACTTAGAATTAATTAGTCTAGTTATTTTCCTTGAGAATTGTAGTGACTAAACTTGGTAGACAAAAGCTGGTGAGATTTTGAGCCTTTAGACTGACACATCCATATCAGTTTCACTATTTTCTTTCATGTGAGATATTCTTCCATGGATTTGTTTCTCTAGAACTTGCATTGATTCTCTTCAAGATCATATTGACACATGCATGCATGAACATGATTAAGGCCCTTTTTGTTATAAGTTACATAAGCAAAATAGCCTACCTTGTGATAAATTATCCCCTTTGTTGAACCCCTTTGAGCTTTATTGACCTTTGTCGTTCATTGTGAACCCATGTTACAAGCTTTAAACCCAAGAAAAAGATAATACCCTTACCCAAGCCGTAGAACTAGTGGAGCATTGTTCATCATTATGATATGTGTGGATGTGCAAGAAATGGATGTGGGGGTGTCTGGATTCGTGGTATGGTTATAAATGGTGAAATGGAACATGTTTTCATTCTCAATTCATGAGTTTCAATGATTGATATGCTTTGAAAAAAAAAAAAAGTAAGTAAAGAAGTAAGGAAGGAATGGAGGAAATTGCTTTTGATGTTATAAACTATCCATGCCCCTCCTAAAATTCAAAAAAAAGGGTGGGACTGCTTATATATATACAAAGGTGGAAGCTGTTGCAAAGGATTGTTCCCTGCTGCAAACGAAAAGTGCTCATTTGAACAATCTCTTTTCCAATATAGGAGTTTTACATGGTTTCAATGCATTAAAGCAAAATTGAAGAAGTTGCTGAATGGAGTGAGTGGTTTTACATGTCTTGTACTTTCAAGCTTTAGTTGATTCATTTTTGCTCTACTAGTTTCGATGGCTTTTAAGCTACATTCCCAAATATTTCCCACCTTGATCATGAGCCTCGTTACAACCCTTGAAAAGTCATTTTGATCCATGTTAAGCATGTGATCCCAGCGGTGGAGAATGAGAAGATATGCAAACCTATGGTAGATCATTTCCATTAACATACTCTTCAAACATGAGAGTTGAGTGCTTATTTCTGTGAGAGTCTACGTATTTAATCTATTCCATCTTCGAGTGGAAATGCTTACTAAGTAATTGAAAGTTGTTTAAGAATGTTTGTTCATGATGTGTTATGAGTTTTGAAGAGCTTGGTTGTTCTTTGTTGATGGCATTGTAACCTTGGTGTTTTTGGGAAAGTGAATTCGAGTTTTGCCCGAGGACGAGCAAAAGCTAATTGTGGGGGACTTGATGAGAATGCAAAATATCATACTTTTCTCCCTTAATGCTTAGTCTTTTATACTTATTTAGTGCCTAAATGGACTCATTATTCTCATATTTTGATTTAGGGCACAATTGGAGAAGTTAAGTGAAAAACGGAGCTAATTGGGCAATTCTGGACAGTTTCGGCATCACTTCGTAATCTGGGCATAATTCTCACATCCAAGCTCCAATTGAGATGATTCAAGATGCTTTGGAACGACAAGAAAAAGCTCTACCACTTTTATGTTTTGAGTTTTGAGAGATACTGACCGCATCAAGGTCGAAATCGGGCTCGAAGTAGCTGCAACTGCACTGATGACGTGTTGGAAACGTTCCTTAGCCTACAAGTTTTCATATGCGGGAATCACCACCCTCCTAATTACATTAGAACTCTATTTTATCTTATTTTTATTATTTTTCTTGATAAGTCAAAATTAGAGATTGTTATCTAGAGAGAAATTTTAGGAGATTTTGTAGGCTTCTCTTGGGGAATGGGAAGTGGAGAGAAAAGAAAAGAGAAGGAAAACAAAAAAAAAAAACAATCAGACTTAGACTGCCACACCTCTCTTCTTCTTCTCCAATTCTTCCTTGAGTTTTCACCATGACCATGCGTGGCTAAATTCTGATACTTGGTCGAAGAAAACAGAAGCCTCA